ATAACAAAGAGTGAAAAATTGAAGGGGGTCTGAATACTTTCCGTACCCACTGTATATATATATATATATATATAAAATGACAAAACACCTAGTAAAAATTTAAATGAAAATATAAGAATTAAAAGCTAATCCTAAATATTAAGAAGTACTATAATAATATGAAAATAACACTGGTCAGTTGCAGGATTGAGCAGTCAAACGTTATATAATAATGCTAAACTTTGAATAAACCCAAAATCAATATAATATAATGCAATATTTCATGTCTATTTATTTACTCAGTTTCACATTGGGCACGCAATCATGTAAGGTTCGTGTTTCCACCATTACCTAATTTGCGTGTTTTCTTTAGTGAATAGACTCTTAAAACAACTCAGACAGTCACTGTACATAAACGGCAAATTTATTCTTAGTGTCTTTTTCCAGGCCCGCTTGAAACACAATTTCATGTCAGTCAAATGGACTGACTTTCATTGCTACACAGGTCCTCTCTGCCATGTGTGGAATGTCGGCTGACTTCATTTACTGCATTGTTTGGCCAAATGAGGAAACAATCACAGGCTAAGCCATGAGGTTAGGAAAAAAGGTTAGAAGGTGTTATTTAAAACTAGATGACACAAAGGTCATTTAGCTTTGAATAGTGTAGGGTACACAGAGGGCTAAAATTAAATAATAAATTATTGAAATAATTCCACTCAATAAAAGAAAAAGTCTCATTAGCTATTAAATTCTTTAAAAGGTTTTAAGAAGACTGTTATTAATGTTATAAAATGTGCAGGCATTCAGCTGTTGGCCCTGAATATCCTGTCATCATATTGGTCTGTTCCAGGTCTTAGAGCAGCACATGGATGGACGCTGGAAAGGACACATCCATGACATTCAGAGAGGCACTGACTGTGTGGGATTCTTCCCTCCCTCCATCGTGGAAGTAATCAGTCGCAGATCAGGTATATTGAATAGTTCTGTGTTCAACTTACACAAGCATTTACTATAAATATATGGTCCATTGTCAAAATTGACGATAACCTGTTACCTATAATTTTGGCTACATTTTCCACCAAAGTTAGTCAGGTACCGTTATTTCTTTGTATAACAATGCAGGATGCTACGGGGTACAGATCACTGACTCCATTAGTTTCTATTTCGTATTTAATAAAATATCCTTTCATTCTAAATTTTATCAGCATAAAAAAATTTGAGTGCAGATTAGAATTGAAAAATATCACCCTTTTGTTTTAAAGACAGCAGCACAAGTTTTTGACTTAAAGTAGTGAATCATAATTTTTTTGAATAACACTTCAAAATCCTAATCCTAAAACTACTAATTAAGAATCCTAAAACTACTTCTCTATTTTTAGGTTTAAAATATCATTTGAATCCCAGTTTTTAAATGCGCTCTCTGACGTTTGTATCCCACAGTACGCATATCAAAATAATGCATACTAAAGTAGTGCAGTTCTCATAAATTCTTGTAGACGTGGACATGTAGTCCATTGATAAAGGCACACACAGACACACACTAATGGGATTAACAGGAATATATTGGGGGCAGGCGGATCAGCTTTAGAGCCCTGTGCCTCCGTGAAAGGGGGAGCCAGCCTTAGATTGCTAGGTCCTGAGCAGAAAATCTTTCCCCGAAACGAGCCTGGTATTTTATTTCTGTGTGAGAGCGAGCACAGCGGCAGACTCGGCATTCTGTCGTGTCACAGCGTCAACATCCTGCTGCTCACATGAAATTAGCCTCGGCTCTAAGCTCCTGCCTCAATACTGCTGAAGAGACATGATGGAGGCAAAACAGCCAGATTAAGACCCGACCACTTAACTCATTGTGCTGGGGAGTTTCTCCCACCCGCATTATCTTATCAGGATGCTAAAACCTCCCCAGGTTCATCTTAGTTTTTGAAATGAATGTAAGGAGAGGGAAAAAAAAGGCTTTTCTCTTTCGTGTTAAAGAGAAAAAAAATGTTAATGTCATGTACTCACCTTCATGTCATTCTAAACCTGTGTGGCCTACTTTCTTTCTGGAACACAAGTGAAAATATTTTCAAAAATGTATTTTTATACAATGAAAGTCAAAGGGGTCCATTGTTGTTTTGGACCTCACTGACATTCATTGTGTGGACAAAATTAATGTGGAACAAAATAAGAATGAGTAAATGATGATTTAATTTTCTTGTTTCACCGTTTTATTTTATTATTTGTTTAATAAATAATTAAATAAATGAATATTTACACTGCCATTCAAAAGCGTGGAGTTGGTACGTTTTTGGCTGCATTTTTTTTAAATTTTTGATCAAAAATACAGTAAAAAAACAGTAGTATTGTCAAATATTATTACAATTTAAAATATCTGTTTTGTTTTAATATATTTTATAAGGTAATTTATTCTTGTGATGGCGAAGCTGAATGTTCTGCAGCCATTACTCCAGTCTTCAGTATCACATGATACTTCAGACAATCTAATATGCTGATTTGGTATTCAGAAAACATTTCCAATAATTATGTGTTGAAAATAGTTGTGCTGCTTAATATTTTTGTGGAAATCATTATACATCTTTTTTTAAGATTCTTTGATGAATACAAAACGCCAAAGAACAGCATTTATTTGAAATTTGTAACATTATAAATGTCTTTTTAAAAATGTATTTAAAAAATAAATTTGATCAAATCAATGTGCCCTTGCTGCATACAAGAATTAATTTCTTTCAAAAAAAAATTGTACTGACCCCAAACTTTTATAAACTTCCATTAGTTTGAATTACTTAAATCATGTCTCTAGTGGAAACATCTTTCTCAACGATGATGTTTCATTTGTGTCCATGGTGCCTCATTTGTGTTTCCATGTTGTGTCCATAGGGGGCGTTCTCTCCCGGCAGGCCTCACTGCCCATCCAGAGACATCACATTCTGTCCAGAGCCCTGCCCTCACAAAGTTTTCATCACACCTCTCACACTGATGACTCCTACACCTTATACTCATCCACCCGTCCTGTACTGTCTCACCACAACGGGCTGGATCAGCACCCAGGTAGCGTGAGAATTAGTCTCTTAGGGCTAAATTCACGTACACACACCTGCAAAAGCAAGTCCCCATCCAAGAGCCCATCCAAGCATTTCTGAAAGCAAAAAACTCCTCCATCCCTGACCACGTGAGCATCATAAACTGTACTTTAATTCATCTTAGCCACATTTAGACAAGTTTCCCCAAAGTCCAAACTCATGGAATTCCTGGTCGAAATTTTGATCAGCACTGGCCGTTCTTTTTCGGTTTTTCTGTCGTGTCACAGCGTCAACATCCTGCTGCTCACATGAAATTAGCCTCGGCTCTAAGCTCCTGCCTCAATACTGCTGAAGAGACATGATGGAGGCAAAACAGCCAGATTAAGACCCAACCACTTAACTCATTGTGCTGGGGAGTTTCTCCCACCCGCATTATCTTATCAGGATGCTAAAACCTCCCCAGGTTCATCTTAGTTTTTGAAATGAATGTAAGGAGAGGGAAAAAAAAGGCTTTTCTCTTTCGTGTTAAAGAGAAAAAAAATGTTAATGTCATGTACTCACCTTCATGTCATTCTAAACCTGTGTGGCCTACTTTCTTTCTGGAACACAAGTGAAAATATTTTCAAAAATGTATTTTTATACAATGAAAGTCAAAGGGGTCCATTGTTGTTTTGGACCTCACTGACATTCATTGTGTGGACAAAATTAATGTGGAACAAAATAAGAATGAGTAAATGATGATTTAATTTTCTTGTTTCACCGTTTTATTTTATTATTTGTTTAATAAATAATTAAATAAATGAATATTTACACTGCCATTCAAAAGCGTGGAGTTGGTACGTTTTTGGCTGCATTTTTTTTCAATTTTTGATCAAAAATACAGTAAAAAAACAGTAGTATTGTCAAATATTATTACAATTTAAAATATCTGTTTTGTTTTAATATATTTTATAAGGTAATTTATTCTTGTGATGGCGAAGCTGAATGTTCTGCAGCCATTACTCCAGTCTTCAGTATCACATGATACTTCAGACAATCTAATATGCTGATTTGGTATTCAGAAAACATTTCCAATAATTATGTGTTGAAAATAGTTGTGCTGCTTAATATTTTTGTGGAAATCATTATACATCTTTTTTTAAGATTCTTTGATGAATACAAAACGCCAAAGAACAGCATTTATTTGAAATTTGTAACATTATAAATGTCTTTTTAAAAATGTATTTAAAAAATAAATTTGATCAAATCAATGTGCCCTTGCTGCATACAAGAATTAATTTCTTTCAAAAAAAAATTGTACTGACCCCAAACTTTTATAAACTTCCATTAGTTTGAATTACTTAAATCATGTCTCTAGTGGAAACATCTTTCTCAACGATGATGTTTCATTTGTGTCCATGGTGCCTCATTTGTGTTTCCATGTTGTGTCCATAGGGGGCGTTCTCTCCCGGCAGGCCTCACTGCCCATCCAGAGACATCACATTCTGTCCAGAGCCCTGCCCTCACAAAGTTTTCATCACACCTCTCACACTGATGACTCCTACACCTTATACTCATCCACCCGTCCTGTACTGTCTCACCACAACGGGCTGGATCAGCACCCAGGTAGCGTGAGAATTAGTCTCTTAGGGCTAAATTCACGTACACACACCTGCAAAAGCAAGTCCCCATCCAAGAGCCCATCCAAGCATTTCTGAAAGCAAAAAACTCCTCCATCCCTGACCACGTGAGCATCATAAACTGTACTTTAATTCATCTTAGCCACATTTAGACAAGTTTCCCCAAAGTCCAAACTCATGGAATTCCTGGTCGAAATTTTGATCAGCACTGGCCGTTCTTTTTCGGTTTTTGCTTAGGAGTTAAATGTTGTTTTAAATACCTTTGCAGCTGTATGCTGTTAGCAAACATCTCGACAGCACCCACACAGCTGAGAGCACCATTTAGATGAATATGTAAATATGCGCTGCCTGCTTTCCTCTCAATAACAAACACACAACGACAGTGGTGAGAAAACATAAGTTAAGAAGGCATCTGTTAGTAGTTCATGTGGTTATTATTGCACTCCAGTCAAGTTACGTTTATTTAGCACTTCATACAATAAATTGATTTAAAGCAAGCAGCTTTACAGTACAGTAACATAAAAGACAATGCCACTGTTGTTTTCAATTAGAATTACTAGTTCACTTTCTACTATAAAGCAGCTCTCCAGTATGTTTATGCTTTTACACGCGTCTGACATTGACAGACTAAACAGAAGAAATGAACCTATTACGTACTCGCCACGGACCAGTGGTAGTTCAAAGGATTTTACCAGCTGCAGCAAACTTTTCCGGAAAGTTTGGTTTGGCAAGTCGTACCAAACTCCAGATGAACTTTGTTGAACTTTGTCCTGATTTTGTTCGAAGTGACGTCACACCAGTTCGTTCTTCGAATTTGCTTGAAGTATATCTGGGCCTTAAGATTCCTAGAGTTTCCCCCCATGGCCCTTTAAAGTGTTTGTGTTTGCTAGGTGCGATTCCCGACAGTCCCAGTGCCCTGTGTAAGCCAGCTAGTCCCAAAGAGCCAGAGGATATTTGGGTCCTCAGGACCTCTCTTAATGGTAAGAGTTTTCCGTTTCCCCAGGCCCCTGTTCGTCATTAGCATCTCCCCGGCCTGTTTTCTCACCCCCACAGCCGTCCGCTGGTCCAAAAGCCTGCACACCAGTGACTTTCGTCTCAAGTTGAGTTTTTTCCAGCTGTTTCACATGGTTCCTGTTCCCTTAGGCTATATTTGTCCTATGTTTATCAGCCTACCATCAGCTTGCCATTCACATTGCTTAATTTGCACTAGCCCTCCTCAACATTCCCTTGTGCTCCTTCATGTTCCCCTTGTCTACAGAGACCTTGCTGGAGTTCAGAGATCGTGGTTGCTAAAATCTTTACCCCATGTTGCCCAGTGTGTAGTAAAGCAGTCGTTTTTAAGAGGCAGTATCTCACCAACTGTTTTTTCTCCTGTCTTTGTTTATTCCTCTTTCAGCAGGTGACAGGAACAGTGTGGGCAGTGCAGGCAGCATGGGCAGCAGTCGCAGTGCTGGCAGTGGACAGAGCACTGAGGGAAATAATGGACCCAATCAGTCACCGTCTGCTGTCCAGGACACCACCAAGGTGGGCTTCAGTCTCACACATCCAATGTTAAGCTGAACCAGAAAAAAAAGAGATTTTATGATTCTGTCTGCACGTCCATCGATTTTCATTAGGGAGCTGAAGCTGTGAGAAAACTGCGGAGAAATATGCAGCACTGATTAATTCACAAGATAGCGGGCTCATCATAGAACAGTACAGAGATTTCATGGTTCATAAAGGCACCAAAGGGAAAAAATTATTACTGTTATATATAGAAGTCCACAGAAGCCATGCATGATTATTTTTGCCTTATTTTCTCCAAATCTTATTTTTCTTGTCATCTTGAAAAAACAAGTTATTTTGAATTTTTCTTAAGTTAACTTGAAAAAGCAAGTCAGAAAAATGCTCTAGAGAACTTACCAATGTTAAATGACTATTATCCTGGTATTATTAGCCTAAATATTTGTAATACATGACACATATAGAATAAACAAATAATTTAACAAAAATTATTGATAAATTAGGTCATTGGTATTTTAGATATTTCTGTTTGCACTATAAAAGTAGTCACAAGAGTCAGACTTGTAACCCGAAGGTTGCGGGTTCGAGTCTCTGGTCCGGTAGGAATTGTCGGTGGGGGGAGTGAATGTACAGTGCTCTCTCCCACCTTCAATACCACGACTGAGGTGCCCTTGAGCAAGGCACTG